AGCAGTTATATGTTACAGAGGCTTCTTTGTTGACCTCTTAAATAAAAGTATAATTTTACGAAATGTTTCATATTGTTGCGTCAGCGAGTCACATGACTAGTGTGACGCCACGTTTTTAGAACTATCCCGTACCTTGGCGAATGCTCTAGTATTTACTAGATATAGGGTAGTCTGGTATATAAAAGAGGATGACAACGTGACGGGAGAATAATATAATGTGTGTGTAGATAGTGAGTAATTGAGCTGCAGTCACATGGTATTGTTGAAGTTAACGTTCGTTCGTTATAGTGTTTGTTTTAGCGCGAATATTGAAATTAAGTGTATCGTAAAGTTGTATTCGGAAAGAATAAACCAGTTTTATTAAGTAAGGACTTGTGTCGCTAACGTTTCGTCGGAAACGAAGTTACGGAAAGTTAATTAACAAACGCAGACGTAACAAATTGGTGTCAGAAGTGGGATAAAAAAAAGAAGAAAAATGGAAACGAGAGGCGGAAAATCAAACTACAGCTTAGCAGACTTGATGGCAGCAATACAAAAACAAGAAAAGAAACAAGAAGAACGAGAAATTAAACAAGAAAAGAAACAAGAAGAACGAGAAGAGAAATTACAACAATTGTTAGAGGAAAAAGAAAAGAAACAAGAATAACGAGAAGAGAAATTACAACAGTTGTTAGAGGAAAAAGAAAAGAAACAAGAAGAACGAGAAATTAAACAAGAAGAGAGATTACAGCAGTTGTTGGAGGAAAATAAAAGAAACAAGAAGAGCGACATCAGCAGTTGCAAGAAAACATGCAACAGTGGCATCTTGATCAACAAAATAAACAAGAGAAATTACAGCAGTTGTTGGAGGAAAAAGAAAAGAAACAAGAAGAGAGACAACAGCAGTTGCAAGAAAACCTGCAACAGTGGCAGCTCGAACAACAAAATAAACAAGAGAAATTACAGCAGTTGTTGGAGGAGAAAGAAAATAAACAAGAAGAGAGACAACGAAAAGAAACAAGAAGAGAGATTACAGCAGTTGCAAGAAAACCTGCAACAGGGCAAGAAAACCTGCAACAGTGGCAGCTCGAACAACAAAATAAACAAGAAGAAAGATTACAGCAGTGGCAAGAAAACCTGGAACAGTGGCAGCTCGAACAACAAAATAAACAAGAAGAGAAATTACAGCAGTTGTTGGAGGAGAAAGAAAATAAACAAGAAGAACGAGAAAAGAAACAAGAAGAGAGACTACAGCAGTCTATAACTACAGTCTGGTATATAAAAGAGGGTGACAACGTGACGGGAGTATAATATAATGTGTGTGTAGATAGTGAGTAATTGAACTGCAGTCACAGGGTATTGTTGAAGTTAACGTTCGTTCGTTATAATGTTTGTTTTAGCGCGAATATTGAAATTAAGTGTATCGTAAAGTTGTATTCGGAAAGAATAAACCAGTTTTATTAAGTGAGGACTTGTGTCGCTAAAGTTTCTTTCCGAAACGAAGTTACGGAAAGTTAATTAACAAACGGAGACTTAACAATATAAATCACTACTAGTGAATCACTACTTATGCTATATGACTTTTAATGTCAATTGTCACTTTATGAGGGAGAACAATTTCTTGATAATATAAACCTATTTCCTGTAATTATTCCTTATCACTAATAATTAATAATGTCTATTTGAAACAAAAAGGAAATTAAAAAAAACATAACCTAACAGCTACCACTTGAAATGCTTTGTATTGTCTTAAGGAAATTCTAGGTGTAAAAAATGAATATTAAATTAAAAACAAATGTTATATAAATGTTTAGGTGGCTTTTTTTATTTTCATACGCCTCAGTCTTATCCAAAAATCAAATACTTAGTATAGTATGTAGTATTCAAGCACATCGATGGATGACAGATAAGAATCAAGTATAAGCAAAACGGGAATTCTGAAAAGATATGCTGAGTAACAATTCAAACACGGAGAGCAAAAGAAATACATATATATACAATTGTACACAGTTTTTATTCATGAAATTAAAGTAGTGAAAACTTTTCACTTGACTGACCTTTCAATTCCGTATGAAAATTATTGACTGTTGTGGTAGAGGCAGAGTTTTATGTTTATCTGAAGAAGAGATTATAAAGAAAGAGCTAAGGTAAGAGAGAAATAATAATAGATATACCCTACTTTTGTGTCAGACAGAGTTCTTAGTGTATTATTTCATAATTCTTCAAATCACCTACATCATCGATAAATCCAAATAAACATATGTATATATAAGAAAGATAAACACAACTAATACTAACATGTACAAATTCTGTATCACCCCTTGAAATGACTTTAACCCCACTCCAGAAAACAGACGCAAGGTCAAAAAGGTACAAACTTTCATAAACAGCATTGTTATATGTAACTTTTACCTAAGATAGATAAATAGTGTATATTTATAATATTCTTACATCCAGCTTATCAGAAAGACACTAACTATATACAATAAAAAATTGAAGTAGTGTTAACAGTTTTTGCTGACATAGCTTGTAATAGTAAAATTTGGCAAACCTAAAACATTCTCTGTTGTTCCTGGTGTGAGTGAAGAGAAACTGCTATGTTTCAACTTTATATAACTATAGAATACCAAGCATTCTGATATTTTTCTCTAAATTTTCGTAGAAATGTTCTCTATGTAGTTAGAAACGTTTTCTTACAAAGGATAAAAACAAATTGTAAACCTTTTCTAATATTATAGCTTTGGCAAAAATCCCATACCAAAATGAGGCTTAAACTTACTTGACTCTGTATTTCTCAAAGCCCATTCCCTTGGCTGTGGTGTTGCTAGATAGTAGATAGGGACAGTGGGAATCTCGTTAATCCATTCATGCATGTCATTTCTTGTTGTACATATTTTAAGGGGTAGTAAAGAGTCTGTATGTGTTAGTCCAAGGTGTGGTTTTTACCTTCCTTGAATATGTATAATGGAATTGTTTGGTGATGTAGGTGACCGAGAATTGTAGGATACCTATAACACTAAACTTTTGGTCCAACTTAAAAGTGTGATATGATTCTTACATGTCTTCTTCATGCATATATATGTTCCTAGCCTACTACAGCAGCTGAAGTTATGATAATAAATATTGAAGCTGGCCAGTTTGGTATAGACTTCAGCATTGATTTATCTCTGAATAAAGATTTGGTTTTAGTTGTTTGCATATTTCTGTTCACTTCTTTTCATTTCCTGTCCATGCTTGTTTTATTCTCTGCTTAACATTTCCTAAATCTACAGTGTATTGCAAACTACTAGGTACTTTTCTGCTGGAAATTAGTGTAGAATTTTAGTACTTAAAGGTACCATATTTTCCTTGCTCTTTGAGCTCAAACAGGTAAACTGCATAGTTTGTCCCCCTTCATAACAATTTATCAGATGTATGTGCATTTAGACTTTTACATATAGGAAACTTGCCTTAGTACTGACCTTATTTTGTGTGCAAGTTATACACGTTCAAGACAAGTCCCACTTAGGTATTTTTAAACTTTTGAAACACTACACCTGAAGGTTAAACTCTCCTTACTTGCACATGAGATAATCTCGTACTTGTGGTCTGATAAAGATGATGTCAACATTTCTTTGTATATAATTTCAAACTCATTCAGTCTTCAACAAGATTTTCTCGAAATTTTCTTTAGGATCTGTGAAGAGAATATCCAGGATATTCAATCGATGCTCTGTGCACTAGTCAATTATTTTTAACTTACTGTTGTTGTAAATTAAAAATTGATTTTAGTGTTAAGTTTTTTTATCTGCAACTCAGTAGTCCAATTTTAAGTTTTAACTACACAAATCTTTTCCTGCTCAAACTTCTAGTTATTAGTGGAATTACGCTCACATGTCAGGACTCAATCAGCCAGAGAATAGCACAGAATACAATACTAGCATCTTAATTTATATTCTTTTGGTAAAGAAATAAGAATCCTCATTAAACTTCAAATATTATGAAAAGTTAACATTTGTGCATGGTTTCAAATCAAGAGTATCGGGTCCACTTGATTTTCTTTAGTGAAGAATTTAAATTACCTTGCTTTATTCTGGTATTAAAATTTAGAGCATCTATGTATAACAGATGCATTTTTAGGTGTTTTATACATAAACTGTCCATATAATTTTGAAGAAAGTAGTGTACATTTTTATATTTTCTTTTTTTTTTCACTTAAGCACTCAGAATTAACGAACTTGATTGTAACATTGTAACACTCACATAAACAGCTACAGTTTCATTAAGCTATAGTAGTGTAAAGTTCATCTAATCTCTTATAATTAGTGAAACTGGCTATACCACATGTAAAACCAGCTACAGTACTGCAAGGTTGATCTAAGTTCCCAGAATTAGTGAACCTGATTGTACTGTGTCCAAAATTAGTTATAAAAATTGGGAATTCTAGGTTTTGTAGTTGAAAATGTTAAAAATTAATGCACACACAGATGAAAACATATTCAGATAGTCTGGTATATTTTACACCAACTCTGTTCGTGAATCCAAATTTTGGGAGGTAATACGTAAAATTATGGGCTAAAGGAGGGATTTGTTTTGGGCTATTGTTATTGGAAAATGTACTTCAAACAAACTAAAGGAGGGGTTTGTTTCGGGCTATTGTTATTGGAGAATGTACTTCAAACAAACTATACTTTAAGTAACAATAGCTGATACATTGATGAGTAACTTCTGATTTTGGCAATGTGGAAGAAGGTTGCAAAGCAAAAAACCATAACTATGAAACCAGATACAATCAATATTCTCAGTACCCTCAGAAGTGAAATGTCACTCACAATTTTGGCATATCATTGAAGAAAATATTGTAGGATATTTTTTCTTTTACAACTCTAAAACAGATATTTCACCTACTGTGTTCAGAAGTATTAAGTCTGTATATTTTATCTAGCGTGACTGGAATGGAATTAAATTTGGAACTTAAAAAATTGTTCTGTAATAAAAAAAAATAGATGATAGTATGATAATTGTACCATAATACAGCCAAGTCTTTAATTGAGAAGATACACCAAAAAGTGTAGAACAAAAAAGAAAGTAAGATAATGTAGTATAGTAGTTTTTATCACTCGATACAGACTTTTTCAATGCAAGGAACAATTAAGTGCTTTTTACATTATGGTGAAAATGGCTAAACCCTCATTGTTTTGTTGTGCAGCTGTGTATGGATATTGTGTCAAGATGAGATAAGTACTCCTGCAAATGTTGCTCTTCCTCAGATGAGATCTTTGCTTCTTTAGAACATTTTTTAGCAGCTGACAAGCCTTTTTTACAACATTGCTTGGCCTGTTAAAAAAAGAATTAGATTTTCATCAACATGACTTGTTAAAAACAGCTGCAAAGATTTAATTTTAAATAGCTTCTTAAAGCTGAAATAAGTGACTTAAAAACAAACATGTACAAAGATGAAATTATATTCAAGTATAAACTTTGGTGTATGGGGGTGTCTTAAAATGCAGAGTATTTTAAACAAATAACAACAAAGATATCTATTTACCAAAAAGTGCTTAAAAACAGAGTTGTGAATTCTGTAACAATGTTTCATTAGAATGACATGTAATTGTAAATTTTCTAAAATATTGTGTTTCTAACAAATGGTATAATTACTTTCCTATTTCACCAAAAACCTGGAAATTTATTTCATTAATTGTTTTAACAGGTCTTGTAAAAAGGTTGTATGTATATGTGTATATGAATATATATGGTTACTGTAAAAGGTCTCACAGAGGTTTTGTTAGAAGTTGTTAAAGGGCATATTCAATGAATCAATATCAAAATGATTATCAAGGACTGATTAACTTTTTTCTAATATGTTAATACTAGAATAAAATGTTGTCACACACTGATGATGTGCAATATATCAATATAAAATATTATACATCAGTAGTGGCTTCAACTTGAGTACATTATATTAATAAATGGTTGTAGTTTTTGAAAGTTGAAAGCAATGCAGTTGAATTTAGTAAATGTCTTTTATTCTAAAGGGCTATTTTTCACAACTCGGACATTCTTACCAAGTTTAAATGAAATTCTCACTAACAAGTGGAAATTTATTACACAAAATGTTTGTGAAAAAAACAAAAACAATATCATTGCTTTCTGTTATTTGTTCAATATGAATATAATGTTTAAATGTAGTGTTTAACTTGTAATTCTAATAATCAATGATGGCCAATGCAGGTATTTATTTACAGGTGTTTGTGTTTTTCAAAAACAAAAGTCATCTTTATTTACTAGGCAAATTTACTTTCCTCTTTAAAGTTTTATGGATAAAATATAACATGATATTATATTCAGGTTATGTTAGTTAGATGTAAATATAGACATTTTTTTAGAAGTAATTAGCATTACCAACAACTATACAAGACAAACTTTCTGGTTAGAATAGGTTTGAGAAATAACTACAGAAGACATATATATAAAAGGATGGTTCAAATTAATAGATTGTTTAATCATTGTAAAAGGTAAACAATGTATATGTGTTGTTTTACAATGATTTAGTAAAAAGAAAAATAATAACATTTTGGCTCTAGAGCTACTCAAGATAATCATACCTCTTGAAATCTGTCACCTACAAAATATAGCAGTGCCAAAGCATGATGAACAGTAAAATTTAATTTCCAAACTTTCACATCCTCCTCATTTTGCTCAAGTTGCTCAGAACAAAATTTCTTCATGGCTAAAAGGATGTTCAACCCTTCATCTTTTATGGAATTTTCTATAAAAAATTAAAAAAAGGATTTGATACACAAATAAAATTGTAAATGATGACACAGGAATGTTCAGTTTTCCACATTAAAAGTTATATATAGATGTAATAACAAAGACGAAGATGGGTGACAAAACACAAAACATTTTATTTACAAGGTTCGAATGTTTCAGAATATACTCATCTCATCTTCAGTGAAATTTGAAAATAGTGTTACAAAAATATTGATTAACTGATGACATAGTATTATTGATAACTAGTTTACTTAAATATTGAGTAAAGTGTTAAATAGAAGGAAAAACAGATTATAGAATGTATTACAAAATAGAAATAGTTGAGTTTTAACTGTGTAAATTTAGAATAATATTAGATCTATCATTTTAGGTCATTAAGAGTAGGGTGGTATTTAGCAATAAGTATACTTTCTTTAATGTAGTGTTAAGATTACAATATGTGAATGAATGGATGAGTGGCTGTGTTTAAATAATGGACGTCTGGTTCTGTTTTATACTCCTAAATGTTCACAGACTATAGTTTTCAAGTGATGTTTTGTTTTGCTAATTTATGTGACCAAACAGTCACTACATGTATACTTATACACAATCCAGGAATGTAGAAGTTTAGGTATTTGATCTTTATATTGAAATATGTTTTAGTCAAACACTGGAACATTTAGATAAAATAGTTGCAGAATACACAAAATATTAAAGAGGTATCTGGTAACTGAGACCCAACTTTGTAATGTTTCATAATACTTACTTTATTATTACTTAATTTTTAAAACATAGGTGAGTGATAGGTAGTATAATGGTAAGGAATATATACAGTACTGCTGTGAGTGATAGGCAGTTTAATGGTGAGGAATACATACAGTATTGCTGTCAATGAAAGGCATTTTAACAGTAAGGAAATATATATACAGTACTGCTATGAGTGATAGGCAGTCTAATGGTAAGGGATATATCCAGTACTGCTGTGAGTGATAGGCAGTTTAATGGTAAGGAATATATATAGTACTGCTGTGAGTGATAGGCAGTTTAATGGTAAGGAATATATATAGTACTGCTGTGAGTGATAGGGAGTATAATAGTAAGGAATATATACAGTACTGCTGTGAGTGATAGGTAATTTAAAAAGGAATATATGTACAGTACTGCTGTGAGTGATAGGCTGTCTAATGGCAAAGAATATATACAGTACTGCTGTGAGTGATAGGCAGTTTAATGGTAAGGAATATATACAGTACTGCTGTGAGTGATAGGCAGTTTAATGGTAAGGAATATATACAGTACTGCTGTGAGTGATAGGCAGTTTAATGGTAAGGAATATATACAGTACTGCTGTGAGTGATAGGCAGTTCAACAGTAAGGACTTTCAGTATTAATATTGTTAAGACTTGAATCAAGTGGTATAATCTAATTACCTCGTTCATGTGACATTACTTGATGTACTCTATAGGAGGGAAAACTCATTCAGAGTATTACCAAAGTAGAAGTTTTAACTTATGGCTTATACACCAATGAAGTGTCTAACTTACACATTTTTCCCCAGTTAACTTGCAATAAAAAATCGAGGGTATGTACTATGGTAACATTAATCTACTTTATTGTAAGCATCATTTCTTTTCATGTTTATTCCATCTGAGATATAAGATGTTTCAAAATAAACCAGTGTAATTGTTTGTTTAATTAAGTAATAGAATTTAGTACATAAGATATAGCCACATGGAAATGTCATCATTAGAAATATTTGGAGACATTTGATTTTTTACTTTTAAAAAAAAAGTAGTAATCTATATGTTGCTAATAAAAATGAGATAAAACAATGCACAGCAAAAGAGAAAAGTTAATGTAAATCAATTAAGTTTTAAAGTATCAAGATGAAGAGACAGCTATAAATACTTACGTAAATCAAAATTTTGGAACTTTCCTTTCAGACCATCAGAGCATTTGTCTTTAGTCTGTGTAGGTCTCACAGTGATCATTAAAAATTGTTGCCACATAGAAGCAGCCTAAAATTATGAGAAACAGTTGTATTTATACGTGGAATTTATAATAAGCCATAAAAATATATGACTCATCACTAACATATCAAAATGATGCTTTTCTACCCACTTCTTTATAATATAAAGATGCACATTTTCTATGATAATCTAAATACTCGTGACCATTGACATAGCTATGCTTTTAAAATTTTCTGTGTAGACTTAACTAGGAAGCTATCATTTATGTTGTAATGTTTAATATATTATACTGTTACGTCTCCGTTTGTTAATTAACTTTCCGTAACTTTGTTCCAACGAAACTTTAGCGACACAAGTCCTTACTTAATAAAACTGGTTTATTCTTTCTGAATATAACTTTTTGATACACTTAATTTCAACAATCGCACTAAAACAAACACTATAACAACAAACGTTAACTTCAACAATACGTCTCTCTCTGACTGCAGATCAATTACTCACTGTCTACACACACAAAGTCACATGACTAGTGTCACGCCACGTTTCTAGAACTATCCTGTACCTTGGCGAATGCTCTAGCATTTACTAGATATAGGGTAGTCTGGTATATAAAAGAGGGTGACAACGTGACGGAATATTGCCGCTGACGCAACAATATTACTTGTCATTACTTTCAAGCAATACTTATTGTAAATGTAGCAACATATTGTGGCTTTACAAGATCTCATTATCCAGAACTTGTTAAACCCCAAGACATACTTGGAAACAAGAAGTTTCAATCTTAGCTTTCCCTTGCAATCAGTTTGGAGAACAAGAGCCTGATTCAAATGAAGAAATTGAATAATTTCTGAAACAAGTATATAAGGTCAACTTTCTTTTGTTCAACAAGATAGATGTTATTGGAGAAAATGCTCATGCCGTTTACAAAATTTAAAAGGTATTACTGTAGTATTTTAATGAATCATAAACACACCATTATAATTTCCACAATTTGTAGTCTGTTAGTGCTTCTGTAAACAACAACAAAAATCACCACCACTATCATTTTGGTAAATACATAAAAACTAAAATGAAGTCCTAGTTTGTTATTTTAAGTAATTTCATTTACCAAAAAATGGTTGTTCATTGCCTCTATATGTGTATTTGATGATTTCCATTTCAAAAAAACTTGTTTAGATTGTACCCATACCTCTCAGTGTATGTTGAATTCAGTGTACCAAATAATCCATTGTTACATGGTGAATTCTATTGATTTATTACTGAAAAATATATCATGTGTTTTGGGATGAAGTTACTTTTGCAAATATGTATCTATATATGTGTAAAATGATTATATAGGCATGAAAAGCAAAATAAGGGGTGAGGGCAAAGTTGGAAGTGAACAAAACTGGTCAGAAATGGCTTTTTCAGGTGAAAACTTAGATGATAGATGCACCTTGGAAGATTGATATAATTAGAGTGGGAGTTTGGGCTTATTTTGAAACAATGGGGAAGTCAAGATATGCTGAAAATCAGTGGAAATATGCAACCAAAATTAATATGAAAATAAGCAGTTTAATGACCAACTTATGTGACTTTCTGTTTTTACCTTAATATCTTTTTGATTCTTAATCTCCAGCTACCAAATCCATATTAGAATATTTATCTGTTCATATTAATTAGTCGTTATTTTGTACCAGAAACAACTGAAGGTGGGAAAATTGTAAATTTATGAAAATTTATAGAAGGGTTACTTTCATGCTATATTGGATATGGGACCCCTGTTCTGATGCCTATAGATTTAGAAAAATACCGAGTAAAATAAAATACTAAATGACCTCACATGCTCAGTCATTAAATCTGTAATAAGGCTACAGCAGACCTCGCTCACCAATTACATAAACCTAATATAGTACATACGACTTTCTAGTAAATTCACAACTTCTGAAACTTGGGACTTTTAATGTTTTTTAACTTGCATAACACTAGATTAACATAGTTTATCTAAAACATTGTTTTGATATAGTAGTTAGCGTTTCTGTGAAAAGTCAAACCACATAGTTTATTGAAATTGTGTTTTGGTTTTTTTTCAGCTGAGGTTTTTTGGTAAAGGGCTAGGCATGGCTTAGTGGTTAGTATGCATGGACTGTGAATCCAAAGATCCATGGTTCATTGTTGCAATAAAAAACATTCTGCACTTTGGGGCTTAAAGTGCATTATCATCTTGAGTGAGAGTAGAATTTTTCTATTCAATTGGATGAGCAGTCCAAGAGTTGACGGTGTGCTGTTAACTAGTTTTCCTTCTTTTTATCCAGCAGTTCAAAGTTAAGGTCAATTATGTGCAAATAAACCTCTGTATAACTTTGAATAAATATTCTGAAATACACATAATATATGTTTGTAAAAATTTGCTTTTTCTCCCCAGCCCAATCTGGTAAAGAACCAACATGGAACTTTTGGAAGTACCTGGTAGACCACCAAGGACATGTGGTTAATGTGTGGGGACCAGGAGTTACTGACAAGGATATATTTGATGAAATAAAAGCTGTGGTAGACCAAGTTGAACAATCAACTGATTTCAAGAAAAAAGGGAAAATTGAACTTTAATGCAAGTCACTTAGATTCTTGTTTTTGTTCAAGTTTTTCATTTTCAACTTATGAAAAGTACATTCTTGCAACTGGTGAGACATTTCATAACTCCAGCATATCTAAGACAAACTGCATACTTGACAAAACATAATTTTTATGTTTCCTGAAAGAAAATTATCTTTACAGGTGGTGTGATTTTTAAAAAGATTTTGTTACAGATATGTAGTACAATATATTTTAGTCTATTTTGTATTGTATTTAGACAATCCTTTATAATAAAGTATCAAAAACTGTTGTAGACAAAGCTGAACATCAATTGATTTCAATAATAAAAAATAAAAAAGAACTTTTAGGCAAGTTACTTAGAATATTGTTTTATGGATAAGGGTTACGTACTTTCAACTTATGATAAGTATTATAAGGATAAGTTATGATAAGTACATTATTGTGTGAACTAAGTTTTAAATCATAGTTGGACATTTCTTTATAATGTAGTATTGCAAGAATGTTTTGTTCCAAGATAATATACATGTACAAATAATCTAAGTAAATGTTGTAACTTCATTTTACTGTAAACTGTGCACTTTAAATAGACAGGAAGTAAATTAATGACTAATGCTATTAAAGATTAAATAATCTTTCAGTAATTTGTTTGTGGAACTAGCAAGTTTCTAACTAATTTTGTGCAAAATTGGAAGAGTAGGTCAGTTTTATATGAAGACAAATAATGCTTGTTATAGCAAAGGGATGAGGATTCTGTTTTTCTCCACTTTTATGTATTGACTTGTAATATAAGAAAGATCAAATCAACATAATGTTGCAACATGTTCTATTTTGGGGTGGGTTATTTTGGATATTTGATAAAAGTAATGTCAAGTCCATTAGTGTGTTTCATTGCTAAAGTTTCTGCTAACTGGTTAGGAACAGTATATGCCTCTGGTCAATTTATCCATCACAATTATGATGTATTTATTTTTCACTGTTACTCTGTAGCAGAGGACCAAGCACATCAACAGCAACTTTCTCAAGTGCTATTTCAACACAGTACTGCTGTAGCTATTCATTTTTTTTTTTTTTCATGAACCTTTTTGCTTACAGTATAGTTGACATGACATCATGCACCAGTTGCAGAACCCTGGCACCTAACCCAGTGGAAGAATTTTATTATTCTCTCCACTGTCTTCTTAATACCTAAGTGTCCAGCTGTTTGAAAGTTGTAGAATTGGAGTACTTCAGAATGAAGAGACTGTGGAAGCACCAAGTGTAGTAGTCATTGTTTATTTCCAACATAATAAGCCCACCTGTAGGCATAATAAATCCAGCTGTGCCCAGTAAATATTTGTCTTCATGCTGTATGGAGAGTCTGTTTTGTTTTCTGTACTGTTCTTGATTCACTGAATAATTGGTTTCATATCTTTTGCCTGTGCATTTTTCAGTTGAGTGTGTACTGTACTCTGTCATATTTTAGGTTGGATATCTTAGTTTTGTCATATTTTAGGTTGGATATCTTTATTATCTTATTTCCTCCTTTTCAATGTTTACATTCTTCATTAACATATGGCCTTCAGAATAATGCATCAGCATTTCCATGGTTTCATCCAGGGCAACATACAGTGTCAAAGTTTTACTCCTGAAGTTTTTGGAGCATATTTGTTTTCTGGCCTTCTGGATTGCAAACATTTACTAGCCACTACAATACTACATCATTCATATCTGTCCAGAGTGTAAACTTTTGTTTGTATAAGTAGAAATGGAAATGACTTAGGGCTTCATCAACACTTAATAGCTCTTTCCAAGTGGTGCAATACCTTATTTCTCCACCATTCATTGCCTTGCTATAGTAGACAATCGTGTTATTTTACACGCTTTACTTGTGATAATGCTACTGCCAATGGAAAATCACTGGCATCTGTATCTAAAATGAGTGAATCACCAAGAGTTGGTCATATAGCTCTTTTGAGTGAGGTGGTAAGCTGTCTATCTGGGGATTTAACATTAGACTTCCTTCATATTACCTTAAAGGTGATTACTTTGGATGTTTTTTGATGTGGAAGTACTACCTGTACAGCTTCACATCTTGCAATGTCCCATCCTGAATTGACTCAAATTTTATGGTTCATTGTATTAATGGCCCTAATGATGACTTATTTAGTCTTCATATCCATTAATACCTCAGGACAAGCTGGAGTATTTGGTTCTACTATGCACCAGTCACTAGATGTAAATTTATTCCTAATATGTCTTGGTATGAGTATTTCATTTCTTGAAAGTATAATGACTGTCCTCCTTGTTGACATTGTATGTTCACTCTCTGGTGTAATAGTTCTCATTTAGTGCACAGGGATTTCTTGGTCATAGTGTGAAACTATTTGAAGCTAGCTTAACCTTGCATCCATGTCTTTTCAAAGTGTCAGTTCCCATTTTGCACTCTTCCAACTTTTCCCTTGCTGGAACTTTGTGTCCACTTGCTGTTTGCAATA